CTGAGACATTGATGCATTGAGTCTATTCATTAACTAATTTGTAATTTTATTAACTAATACAGCAAATATTCATTACATGCACACTATTTACTAAAACAGAGCTTCTAGTTGGAGACAGCTGTTCCTGCACTTCTATGGTATATAATGTAGTGCTAGGTAGTAAGGAGGCACTCCTGGGAGGCATGTTTGGCTAAGCACTGAAGTGCTTAACTATTAACCGAAAGTTTGGCCGTTTGAACTTACCCAGAGGCACCTCGGAAGACAGGCCTGATGATTGTCTTCCGAAATGTCACAGTCTTGAAAACCCGGTGGAACAGTTCTACTCTGTATACATGAGGTTGCCATGGGTTGGAATAACTCTATATCAACTAACAAGAAAAGGTAATAAGGGACCAGGGGGATTCTAGAGTGGTGTCCTGTATTATGACATGAAGTTACTTATTTTATACATGTAAATTACCACTGATGAAACTGTTGTTGCTGTTAGGTGCTATCAAGTCATCTCCGACTCACAGTGATCCTATGCACAGCAGAACGAAACACCACCTGGTCCTGAGCCAGATCCATGATTCTTGCTATACTTGAGTCCATCGCTGCTGCCACCATGTCAGTCCACCTCATTGAGGGCCCTCCCCTCTTTTGTTAACCCCCCACCTTACCAAGCATGACATCCTTCTCCAGGGAAAGGTCTCTTCTGACAACATGACCAAAGTATGTGAGATGAAGTCTGGCCTCCAAGGAGCATTCTGGCTGCACTTCCTCCAGGACAGACTTGTTAGTTCTTTTAGCAGTCTATGGTACTTTCAGCATTCTTCACCAATACCACAGCTCAAAAGCATCAACTCTTCATCGGTCCTCCTTATTCATTGTCCATCTCTACGTGCATATGAGGCAATTGAAAATACTATGGCTTGTGTCAGGCACACATTAGTCCTCAAGGAGACATCCTTGCTTCTCAGCACTTGAAAGAGGTCCTTTGCAGTTAATTTGCTCAGTGCTATACGTTGTGTGATGTCTTGACTGCTGCTTCCATTGGCGTTGATTGTAGAATCAAGCAATGTGAAGTCTTTAACAATTTCAATCTTTTCACCATTTATCATAATGCTGCTTATAGGTCCAGTTATGAGGATTTTTGTTGTCTTTGTATTGAGATGTAATCCATACTGCAGACTGTGTATTCTTTAATCTTCATCAGTAAGTACTTCAAGTCATCCTCACTTTCAGCAAGCAAAGTTGTGTTGTCAGCAACACTGAAGGTTGTTAATGATTCTTCCTCCAATCCTGATGCCACATTCTTCTTCATATAGTCCAGCTTCTTGGATAATTTGCTCAGCATACAGATTGAATAAGTATGGTGAAAGGATACAACCCTGACATACTGCCTTCTTGATTTAAATCATGCAGTGTTCCCTTTTTCTGTTTGAACAACAGCCTCCTGGTCTATGTACAGGTTCCTCATGAGTACAATTAAGTGTTCTGGAATTCCCATTCTTCTCAATGTTATCCACAATTTGTTATGATCCACACAATCAAATGCTTTTGCATTGTCAATAAAACACAAGTAAACATCTTCCTGGTATTCTTTGCTTGAGCCAAGATCCATCTGACATCAGCAATGTTATCCTTCATTCCACATCGTCTTCTGAAACCAGCTTGTATTTCTGGAAGTTCTTTGATGAAACTACCACTTTTTAAAAAATCATCAGGACTGTTACCCCATCATTTCTCAAAAAAATCATTGGAAAGACATCCTACCCCCCTACACACACACAACCAAAACCTATTGCCATTAAGTAGATTCTGACTCACTTGTTGTTGTTGTTGTTGTTGTTGTTATGTGCCGTCGAGTCGGCCCCGACTCATAGCGACCCCTCCTTGGGTTTCCGAGGCAGTATCACTACAGAAGTAGGATTGCCCAACCTTCCTTCCGAGGAGTGGCTGGTGGGTTTGAACCGCCAGCCTTCTGGTTAGCAGTCAAGTGACTTAGCCACTATGCTACCAGAGCTCCTAACACTTGTTGTTAGCCACCATCAAGTCATCTCCAACTCATAGCTACCCTATGGACAGCTGAACAAAACACTGTTGTAACTCCACAATCCCTGCTATATCTGAGCCCATCATTGCAACCACTAAGTCAATCCATCTCATTGAGGGCCTTCCCCTTTTTTGTTTTCCCTCCACTCCACCAAGCATAATATCCTCCTTCAAGGAATAGTCCTTTCTGACAACATGACCAAAGTAAGTGAGATCAAGTCTGGTCATTTTCACTTCCAAGGAACATTCCATCTGCACTTCTTCTAAGATTGATTTGTTACTTCTTTTAGCAGTCATGGCACTTTCCGCATTCTTCAACAGCATTACAACTCATAAGTGCCCACTCTTCTTCAGTCTTCCTTATTCATTGTCCTGCTCTCACATGCATATGAAGTGATTGAAAATACCATGGCTTGTGCCAGGTACACCTAAGTCTTCAAGGAGAGATCTTTGCTCTTCAGCACCTGAAAGAGGTTCTTCACAGCTGATTTGCCCAATGCTATACATTGTCTGATATCTTGATTGTGGCTTCCATTGATGTTGATTTGTAGAACCACACAATATGAAGTTCTTGACAGCTTCAATCTCCTCTCCATTTATTGTGATGCTGATTATTGGTCCAGTTATGAGGATCTTTGTTTCTTTATATTGAGGTGTAATCCATACTGCAGACTGTAGTCTTCAATCTTCATCAGCAAGTGCTTCCAGTCATCCTCATTTTCAGCAAGGAAAGTTGTATCATCAGCCTATCTCAGGTTGTTAATGAGTCTCCTCCAATCCTGATGCTGCATTCTTCTTCATATAGTCCAGTTATTTGGATTATTTGCTCAGCATACAGATTGAATAAGTATGGTGAAAGGATACAATCCTGATGCACTCCTCTCTGCTTGATGCCACGTTCTTCTTCATATAGTCCAGCTTCTCAGATTATTTGGTCAGCATATAGTACAGTGAAAGTATACAACCTTAACACACTCCTTTCTTGATTTTAAATCATGCAGTATTCCCTTGTTCTGTTTGAACAACAGCCTCCTGGTCTTTGTATAGGCTCCTCATGAGTACAATTAAGTGTGCTGGAATTCCTATTCTTCTCAATGTTATCCATAATTTGTTATGATATACACAATTGAATGCTTTTGCATTGTCAATAAAACACAAGTAAATATCTTCCTGTTATTCTTTGCTTTGAGCCAAGATCCATCTGATATCAGCTACAGTATCCCTAATTGCACATCCTCTTCTGAATCCAGCTTGAATTTCTGAAAGTTCACTGTCAACATACTGCTGCAACCTTTTTTGAATTATCTTCAGTAAGATTTTACTTACATGCAATATTAATGATATTGTGGCAGTTAAGTTTGTGTGTCAACATGGCTGGGCCTGGTTGAGTGGCTGGGCAACTGGGTATAGTATTCCCCATGATGAGACTGGTAATCAGCTCTATTATGGAATCAACTATGAGCAGCTGAGTAGTTTCTTTAGGGATGTGGTCTGCTTCCTGTATATAAGGAGAAGCCTTGAGGAATGGTCAGTAGCTTATGGTAGGCTTGGACCCTGCCATGTAGATGTGTGGTTGTTCAGCAGCCAGCCATGCTCTGCTGACCTTGGGACTTACAACGGACTTGAATTAATGGCCTACCATGTGGTTTGGTAACGTCGGAACTGTGCTATTTTGTTTGTCAACCTTGGGCTTGTTAGCCTCAGCAGCCAGTAGCTGACTGAGTGAAAAGATGCCTCTAGCTTCAGTGGGCTGGGAGCAAGAGGCAGAGCTGCAGCCCAAGGTTTAGGGGCTTTTACACAGCCCCTAGAGCCTTGCACTTGGAACTCGGACTTCTAGGCTCCTGAACTGTAAGAGAATAAACTCCTGTTTGTTCAAGCTATCCTATTTGTGGTATATTCTTGTCAGAGCAGCACTAGGTAACCAGAACAGATATTATTCGATAATTATTTCCACATTCTGTGGGATCACCTTTCTTTGGAATGGGTACAAGTATAGATCTCTTCCAGTCAGTTGGCCAGGTTGTTGTCTTCCAAATCTCCAAATCTCTTGGCAAAGCTGAGTGAGTGCCTCCAGTAAAACATCCATTTGTTGAAACATCTCAGTGAGTATTCTGTCAGTTCCTGGAGTCTTGTTTTTTTTTTTTTTTTTTTTTTCCATTTCCCTCAGTGTAGCTTACATTTCTTCCTTCAATATCACTGGTTCTTGATCATATATCACCTTCTGAAATGGATGAACATCAACCAATTCTTTTTGGTACAGTGACTCTGTGTATTCCTTCCATCTTCTTTTGATGTTTCCTGCATCATTCAATATTTTGCCCATATAACCTTTCAGTATTGCAACTCGAGGCTTGAATTTTTTCTTCAGTTCTTTCAGCTTGAGGAATAGTGACCCTATAAGTCAGAGTAGAATGGCCATGAAGGATTTCCAAAGCTGTAAATCCTTGCAGAAGCAGACTGCCACATCTTTCGTCCATGGAGCAGCTGGTGGATTTAAACTGACTTTTTGCTTAGTAGTTGAATACTTTAACCATTGCTTCACCAGGGCTCCTTCCAGCTAACCACAGGACAGCCTCAATTAATATGCATGTTAGAGTGAAGACATGCATCAATGTAAACCTGATTTACCAGTTCTTTGGCCATTATACTCCATAATATGTTTGATGATATTTCTTCTATATTATACCTTGCTTGAACTGTACTGAGAATATTCAAGGCTTGGATAAGAAGTACTAGAGCTCATTCTCTGATGACTTCCAATGAAAGTCTAATCATATTTTTGTTTATTTGTGCATTGTCTATCCTCCCCTATTATAATGTAAACCTTATAGGACAAGCATTGGAGCTACGTTTGGAACTCTATAAATATCTACTACATGAATGAATGAATGCCCCTGCTATGAATTCAGAGAAATAGGACCACCATTTTATCATATCACCTTTGCATTGCACACCAGTCAACATACCTGCTATTATATTGTCCAGTAGTGTTATGGGCATACAGAATATGCCAACTAGTAAATCACTTATTGCGAGGTTCAAGATGAAGAGATTAGTGACTGTATGCATGTGTTTGTTCCTCATTACAATGAAGCAAACCACTGTGTTTCCCACCATGCACAAGAAGAAGATCAGAAAGTAGGAAATAATGAAGACCGCTGCCACTTGAGGCTGGTGGAGATAATAATTCACATAGGTGATATTAATTTCTGAATACAGAGCATGTTTTGTGTCATTGACACTCCAGATGTGAGTCCAGTTTTCAGAAGAGCTGGAGTCCCATATCTCACTCATAATGGACCTTAACGAAAGAGAGGCAGAGAAAAAATGTAATTAGAAATCTTCAGAAAATAAGTTCAATGCCTGAGTTTAAGAAATATACTTATAAAATGGCATGAAATTTTGATAAACATATAATAATCCATGATATTTTCATGGAACTGAGTTACCAATAAAGAATTCAGTTTACTAGGATTTTAGCCAAGACCATTTGAATATTCCATTTTATGATATAAGTAACAATTACTATCATATTTTGATACCTTAGTATACCATATACTTCACATCTTTTGTCATATTCTTTCTATCCGTTTGGAAAATTTCCTTCACCTTCCAAAACTTTCCTTTGCTCTGCCTCCTAATATCTTATTTGTTTTTGTCTGTTGTTAAATTATTATTATTTGCCCTTTTTATTATTATTCTCTATTCTTCCCTTCTCAGGTTTTAGCTTTCAGCTTTTTCTCTCTTCCCTGTTCCTGGTTTCTAGTTTTTTCTTTCTTGTGGTTAACCCCATTCTTTGTTTTGCCTTTTGCATTTTTCCCATTCTTTTCCTCATTATTCTCCTACTCTACCTCATTCTCTTATTGCCCCCTCCCCAGATATTGCAGGTTTTTTTTCTTTGTTCTTCTTTTTTTTGTTTTGGTGATTGTTTCTGTGTGTTTCTGTGGTGTTTTTTATCTGCTTGCTTTTACTTTTTTGATAGTTTTTCAATTGTTTTTGTTTAACTGAGCAGGAGTGCCCATATGACACAACCACACCTGCACCTCTTGCAGCTCCACTTACTGAGTGAGAGCCACCACTTCCATCTCTACCAACTGGCCAACGATAAATGACAACCAAGGAAAGCCTGACTCACCCTTAGCTGCTCTTCACAAACAGTTAACAGAGATCTAAATACACTAATGTCACAAAGTCTTGGAGACAATAGACCATCATAGTCCACACAAAGAAACAAGATAAAGCTGTAGAGACAATGGGGCAGGATATAGACCCAGAACACATCCCTGAGGAAGAAGCAGTATTAGAACTCCCTGATAAGGAATTCAAAAGAATTATACTTAGATATCTTCAAAGGATTGAGAGACAGATCAAGGAAAACACTGACAAAATTAAGGAAAACACAGATAAAACCCTAGAAAATTTTTGGAAGAAAATACAAGAACAAAATGACAAAATAAATGAAAAATTAGAAATGATACAAAATCTACAGATCAATACTAAATTTTCAGAAATAGATAACATATTGAAATGACAAAGGAGTGGAATCAAATCAATGGAAGACAGAATTAATAAGAATGAAGACAAATGCCTGAATATTTATTTGGAAAGGGATCAATTAGAAAAAAACATCAAAACAGAATGAAGAAAGCCTAAGGTTCATATGGGATACCATCAAAAGAAGAACCCACATGTAATCAGAGTTCCAAAAGAGGAAGAGAAAAAGAAAACCACTGAGAAAATTGTCCAAGATTTGTTGGAGGAAAACTTCCCTGATATGATTAAAGATGAGAATATGTTCATTCAGGAAGTTCAAAGAACCCCCAACAGTATAGACCCCAAAAGAAAATCACCAAGACATATATCATCATCATACTCATCAAAACCAAAGACAAAGAAAGACTCCTGAAAGCAACACGGGAAAAATGAAAAGTTACCTACAAAGGATAACCAATAAGAATAAGCTCTGATTTCTCAGCAGAAACCATGCAAGTGAGAACATAATGGGATTGTGTACATAAAACTCTGAAAGAAAAAAAAATTCCAACCAAGAATTATATAACTAGCAAAACTGTCCCTAAAGTATGATGGTGAAATTAGGAGATTTGCGGATAAACAGAAATTAAGGGAATTAGTTAAAACCAGACCAACATTATAAGAGATACTAATGGGAGTCCTTTGAACAACCAACCAATAATAGCAAACAACAAACAACCATCAATATACAAGATGACATAACCCAGAAACCAACATAGCTGTGGAAGTACCCAAAGTAAAATAAGCTCACAACATTGTAAATAGGAACCAGAGACATCAATTGGCAAATGAGGACAACTATCAACCAAAAAAAGGGAAAAAATAGTGTAGTTACAGAACTTCTGAATGGTGAGGAAGTTGAGAGAATTGCAAGGTAGAACAGACTGTTCTAAATTTGTTGTTGTTGTTAGTTGCCATTGAATTATCTCCAACTCATACAGATCCTATGCACAGCAGAACAAAACACTTCCTGGTCTTCTCCCAGCCTCATGATCCTTGCTATACCTGAGTCCATTATTGCAGCCACAGTGCCAATCTATCTCACTGAGCGCCTTCCCCTTCTTCATTGACCCTCCACTTTACCAAGCATGATATCCTTCTCCAGAGAATGGTTCCTTCTGACAACATGACCGAAGTAGATGAGATAAAGTCTGCCCATTCTCACTTCTAAGGAGCACTCTGGCTGCACTTCTCCTGGGACAGATTTGTTAATTCTTCTGGCAGTCCATGGTACTTTCAGTATTCTTCACCAACAGCACAACTCAAAAGCATCAGCTCTTCTTCAGTCTTCCTTATTCATTGTCCAGTTCTCACATGCATAAGACGTGATTGAAAATACCATAGCTTGGGTTAGGCATACCTTAGTTTTCAAGGAGACATCTTTGCTCTTTAGCACTTGAAAGAGGTCTTTTGCAGCAGATTTGCCCAGTGCAATATGTCACCTGATGTCTTGACTGTTGCTTCCATTGGTGTTGATCGTGGAACCAAATAATATGAAATCCTTGACAACTTCAATCTTTTCTCCATTTATTGTGAAGCCATTTACTGGACCAGTTCTGAAGATTTTTGTTTTCTTTATATTGAGGTGTAATCCATACGGCAGACTGTAGTTTTTAATCTTCATCAGTAAGTGCTTCAAGTCATCCTCACTTTCAGCAAGCAAAGTTGTGTCATCTGCATATCAAAGATTCCTCCAATCCTGATGCCACATTCTTCTTCAGGTAATACAGCTTCTTGGATGATTTGCTCAGCATACAAATTTAATAAGTATGGTGAAAGAAAACAACCTTAACACATTCCCTCTTTGATTTTGAACCATGCAGTTTCCCTTTGTTCTGTTTGAATAGCCTCCTGATCTATGCACAGTTTCCTCATGAGTCCAGGCAAGTGTTCCAGAATTCCCATTCTTCTCAATATTATCCATAATTTGTTATGATCCACACAATCAAATTCTTTTGCATAGTAAATAAAACATAAGTAAACAACTTTCTGGTATCCTTTGCTTTCAGCTAAGCCCCATCTGACATCAGAAAAGATATCCCTCATTCTACATCCTCTTCTGAATCCAGCTTGTATTTCTGGGAGTTCTCTGTCAATACACTGCTGTAACCATTTTTGAATTATCTTCAGTAATATTTTACTTGCATGTGATATTAATGATATTATTTGATAATTTCCACATTCTGTGGGATCACCTTTCTTTGCAATGGGTAAAAATATGGATCTTTTCCAGTCAGTTGGCTAAATAGCTGTTTTCTAAATCTCTTGGCATAGCAGAGTGAATGCCTCCAGTGGGACATCCATTTGTTGAAACATCTCAGTGGGTATTCCATCAATCCCTAGTGCCTTGTTCTTCACCAATTCCTTCAGTGCAGCTTTGACTTCTTCCTTCAATACCATTGGTTCTTGATCATATGCCACCTTCTGAAATGGATGAACATTGAACAATTCTTTTTGGTACAGTGGGGCTGTGCATTACTTCCATCTTTTTCTGCTGTTTCCTGTATTATTCAATATTTTCTCCATAGAATCTTTCAATATTGCAACTCAAGGCTTAAATTTTCCTCAGTTGTTTCAGCTTGAGAAATGCCAAATATATTCTTCACTTTTGGTTTTCTAACTCCAGGTCTTTGAACATTTCATTATAGTAATTGGCTTTGTCTGCTTGAGCTTTTCTTTGAAATCTTCTGTTCAGCTCTTTTATCTTGTCATTTCATCCATTTGCTTAAGCTACTCTCTGCTCAAGGGCTAGTTCCAGAGTCTCTTCTGATATACACTTTGGTCTTTTCTTCCTGTCTTGTCTTTTTAATGACCTTTTGCTTTCTTCATGGATGATGTTCTTGATGCCATCCTACAATTCCTCTGGTTTTAGGTCATTGGTGTTCAATGCATCAAATCTCTTCTTTAAAGAGTCTCTAAATCCAGAAGGGATATTATTAAGATCATATTGTGGCTCTTTTGAACTTGTTTTAATTGTCTTCAACATTAATTTGAACGTGTATATGAGCAGTTGATGGTCGTTCCATAATCAGCTCCTGGCCTTGTTTTTGCTGAAGATATTGAACTTCTCCATAACCTCTTGCCACAGATGTAGTCATTCTGATTCTTCTGTATTTGACCTGATGAAGTCCATGTGTACAGCCTTCACTTATGTTGCAAGGAATAAGTCATTGGTATTGCAAAATTCTATCAAGTGATCTCCAGCATTATTTCTATCACCAAGACCATATTTTCCAACTACCGGTAACTCTTCTTTATTTCAAACTTTTGCATTCCAGTCACCAGTAATAATCAACACATCTTGATTGCATGTTTGGTTAATTTCAGACTGCAGAAGTTGATAAAAATCTTCAGTTTCCCCTTCTTTGGCTTCGGTGATTGGTGCATAGATTTGAATAATAGTAGTATTAACTGGTTTTCCTTGTGGGCATATGGATATTATCCTATCACTGACAGGGCTGTACTTCAGGATAGATTTTGAAACAGTCTTTGTGACAATGAATACCACACCATTCCTCTTCAGTTGGTCATTCCTGTCATAGTAGTATATCATATGGTTATCTGACTCAAAATGGCCAAAACTAGTCCATTTCTGCTCACTAATGCCTAGGATATCGACCTTCATGCTTTGGAAGAAAATTCTAAATCACAGGGTAAACTCAAATAAAGCTGATAAATCTTTACATCAAAACAAAAATGAGGACAAGCACAAATATTTAGCAAATAGTAAAACAATAGCAATGAAGAAAATGATAACACAATTC